AATTCGTTACTACATGTGGCACTGCACGCAATAACCCTTTATCAAGTATATAATTATTAAATATAAGAGGACGAGGAGAAAGAATGTGATTTTTTTTTATTAAATTTCCATATGTTTACAATTCTTGATATTGAACCATTTATTTAAAACAAACTCAAATTATATGAACTTAATATTTAACATGTTTTGTTTATACAAATGCCTAGAATTTTAAGGTCGTCGGAAGGGGGTAGAAATGGGGACGCACGAGTGCCTGTAGTTGAAATTCGACTACAAGAGAGACGACATGGATTGAGGAACCGTGATGTTGCCACACCGGAAAAATCAAGATATTGAAATGGTAGCTGCAGGTGAACTCCAAACAAAATTTTCCGATACAAATTCTGGCCCTCATGCCATTTCAAGGATAACATCACATGTAAGGGCCTGCAGAACCAGCATTTAACATGAATTAAAGCGCCATTTGCGCAAGTAGAGATACCAGCGCATGTAACTGCATAATAAAAAATGGTGAGATAGATAGTGATAAAAGAAAAGAAAATATTTGAAAGAAAAGATAGGAAATAGGGAATTCATTGACTTATCGCTTATCAAAGTTTTGTCAGTCAAATTGAAATGTCTCTAAATGTAATAAGTTATGAAAACTCCGCCGGTTTACTTGTTAATTCGTATAACAAAAAAACAACGAAGTTAAATCCAAATCAAAATATTGAGTCTTGAACTGATGCATTTTTTTTTAATTATATGAAGGTGATTTGCAACGATTTTCAAATTTAGCTAGTAAATTGATTACTTATGTGTCAATAATTAGAAATATACGGGTTTGTTGTGAGAGATCTATTGTTATTATCAGGAATTTTGGTTACGAATTGCAAACAATCTTACAAGATATTATATTGGTGGTATTTGATGTTACACTGTTATAGCAAATGGGGAATCAAAAAGTAATATAATTTAAAAGATAAGTGTATCAACCCCGACACATTCTGTATGTGTCTATATATACCAAGTCAGGAGCCTTAAATTCAATTGTTGTCTTTTGTTGTTGTATATCATATTTGTGTTTCGTTCATTGTTTTGTACATATATTAGTCTGTAAGTTTTCTTGTTTGAATTGTTTTAAATTTGTAGTTTCGGGACCTTTTATAGCTGACTATGCAATATGGGTTATTTTTTTCATTGTTGAAGGCTATACAGTGACCTACAGTTGAAAACTCTTGTCATTTGGTCTCTGGTGTAGAGTTGTCTCATTGGCAACCATACCACATCTTATTTGTATAGGTAATTAAACATATTTGGAATTGAACTTTAAGGATGCGTGTTATTGACAGAATTGTTTTATCTGTTTATACACAGTTCAAAAATGCAAATTGGCACACCTATTTGATTTTTGTTCTCTAAGTTAATATCAAGAAAAGTTATCGTTGTTTCCCAAATGAAAACATGCATGGAAACATATAAAATTACAGCGAGACCTGTTTGATGTTTTACACCGAGGACTATTCTTTACTTATAGTTCGAATGATAATTTTGGTGTAATTTACTGGATTTTATGCAGACTATGGATATCCCAGCTGCTACTTGTGAAATATTGCTGACTGGACCGCCCTTCAGTACACCAGCTTTGGATCGCCTAGCTGTTATACAATGATTAGTTTAATCGCCATAAAGATTTTATTTTGACTGACAAATAATTTGGTTGTGTACTGTTGTTGTAACAGTTGTTGTTGTTGTTTGAATGAATTTTGATTAAATGTTGCCATGACAATTCATAAGCCAACCTAAATCAGTGTTTGTTATTTGTTGTAGTGATATACAAAAACGTCATCAATGGTATCTGTTTGTATACATATTGATATTTGGGTAATAAACAACAAGTTTGTTAATTTATTTTATTCATTAAATTTGAAGAATTGCCTTAGCCGTGTGATATGACTTTTGTTATCAACTGCTTCCGGTTTATATCAACTGCTTCCGTTTCATATCAACTGCTTCCGGTTATTGTCGCATGCTTTTCTGTAAAGTTAGCGCTTGACAGTTCGACGTCATTCGGCAAATTCCGGAAAATGTACCTCAATGGTATTTTTTTTTTTAGTAAAACATAACAAAGTTGGAGAAAAAGAAAATATTAATAATCAGAAAAATATATTATTAAAAAATACAAAACAAATATTACAACAAATGCTTTGTTTCAAAGTTTTAAAAATAGTTTTGTCTGTGTCTTCTGCTGAAGTATATGATAAAAAGAACATAACATGTCGTTTTTCATATCAGACCCCTTATCAGCCCATGGTCAAAATCATCCCTCGAGTCTGTCGGCTCTCGGGTTGATAACATAACCTAGGGCTGATAAGGGGTCTGATATGAAAAAGGCCATGTTATAATCTATATATATTCAATAATGATACACTACTTTCATTTCACTGTCAGAGCGATTCATTTCTATTGTATATGCGGTGCATTTTTACAGTCGGATTCTTTTTTATTTTCATTAAATAGATTCTTAATTCAGCCGACTTGCTCAAAAACTAAATTAAGTCGGAAGGATTTGATAATGCTTACTTTGGGATTGAAAATCTAACGTCAAAATAGCATTTATTGCTAAAATATGTTCTAATAATTCGTCCAGATCTATATGAAGGGTAAAATGTATCCATTTCAATGTCATCGAATATATAATATGCATAATGTGAACGTGTATCACCTCAAGACGATGTGTCACATATCATCACGACCTCCATGTGACGTTGACCTCAAGATCAAAAGTCCAGGTTTGTTTTGGGGTGGTTTCGCGAAATCTCTCAGAAACTATATTGATAGCTGGCGCGCCCGATAAAATGGGCTCCTCTTGCTCCAGTAAGTTCTGTTTCACGTGAAAAATACACAAAATTCAGCTGTTTTGATTTTCAATATGAAATATTAGAAATGTCAAACAGGCGTTACAAAAAAAAAAGAAAAAAGAAAAGATCGGTATTTCAAAAGAGACAGTATCTGTTCTTCTGGATGATTTTACCAACATAGGATATATAATTTTTTGGCCTTTAGTTATATCACTAAAACTCGTAACGAATGTTACAGTAAACAATTTTATAAACTGATGACTATTTTAGAAAATCAAAATAATTACAATTAACTATGTATGCGGGAAATATTCTGAACAAAGATAACAAATTATGTTCACTATCTGTATATGTATTAGTTATAAATAGATTTATTTAATGTTTGCAAATTTGAAGCTTTTTTTAAGGAAAAATTTGTGACTAAGGTTTGTAAAGATACGTGCTTTCAGCATTTAGTAAGTATACTTCGAGTTAAAATTGGAATACTTTAATTGATGTTGAAGACTGTACTGTGACATCACTGTCCAAGGTAAGGGGAGGGTTGGGATCCCGCATGTATAACCCCGCCACATTCTGTATGTATGTATATGCCTGTCCCAAGTCAGGAGCCTGTAATTCATTGGTTGTCGTTTGTTGCTGTGTTACATATTTGGTTTTCTTTCATTTTTTTTGTAAATTACTTAGGCCGTTAGTTTGCTCGTTTAAATTGTTTCACATTTGTCATTTCGGGGCCTTTTATACCTGACTATGCGGTATGAGCTTTGCTCATTGTTGAAGGCCGTACGGTGACTTAAAGTTGTTAATTTCTGTGTCATTTGGTCTCTTGTGAAGAGTTGTCTCATTGGCAATCATACCGCATCTTCTTTTTCATATATACAACGTGTACAATACATTTGTGTGTTTAAATTGTGTACAGCACTCAGCATATTTTTAATATCATATAATGGCTTCTCTCAACTCGTTGTGGTTCATTGCTTAATAACACACAACGTCCATAATAAACTGTACATGGGATATATCCTCTGTATTTTCAAGTAAGCATGGACGATAAGTTTTAATTAAAAAAAAAAATAGGTTAAATATCGTTAATATTACTGAAAATCATCAAATGAATATTGTTACGTTTTTCATGTTAAATTACCCCATAAAACCACAATGAAAGTTGATCCATCTCCAAAAATTCCACATCAGAAATGAATGCAACAACAGTGATAATGCATTGAAGTTATAGCTAAAACGAATAGCTTTCAATACTCGATTTTCTAGATTAATAACCCACTCTTGGGCCTTAATCCTGCAAATGATTACCGTAAAGACATATTCTAATGTAAAGACATATTCTAATGTAAAGACATATTCTAATGATGTTGTGTTAACGTTTAGCTAAGAAGGGTTCACGTCCGTTTATAGGGTGCACCATCTACTTTAAGGGTATCAAAGTCACATATGTAGCGGACATACTATGAATTGTAAAAAAAATAGGTTAAAAGGCCTTTGAAAAATGGCCCTTGTTAAATGAATTCAAGAAAAAATGGCCCTACTGCCTTATTTGATATAGATCAGCTTCAGGGAATATACGTCTGTTTATAATTAAAATACTGTATTGAAATATTTATCACTATAATACGTGTTTCTGTCTGCTTTTTGTCATCTGTCCATGGAAGTACTATGAAAAGTGTTCGGCAAATTTAAAACGAGAATTAAACTGTTAAATAGGACGAACTGAAGTCATTGTTTTGTATTCGATATAATTCATTCTACATAGTCTTACCATGCTCAGCGTATCTAACTTATTCAAAATTGCGGATAGTAAAAAGCGCAGTCACCCGTTTAATTACCAAGGTTGGATTGGTTTTTAAATTGTGAATCAAGTTTATTTGTATTACAACTATTATGCGATGAAAAAATTAAAGTTTTTTTAGTACCTTCCCATCTTCGATGATATATTCATGCATCAAAGATCCTCAGTGAATCATTTTAATGTGGGATTTAATATTAACATTACATGTTTCAGACGTTGCGCTTTCCCGAGTACGTATGGATTTAATACTATAAAACACAAGTTTACTCACTGTATTAAAATAGAAAGGAAGTTAGTAACTTTTGTCTAACGAGTACTAGGCCACGCACTGAAATATTGTACTGTAGAGTACTGTGACAATGTCGTGTCGGACAACTATCGATGATATTCACAAAGCACACGAAAGGATAAAGCCGTTTGTTCACAGAACACCTATTTTCACAAGTTCGACTTTCAATAATTTAATTGGAAGAGAAGCATTTTTCAAATGTGAAAATTTACAGAAAACTGGATCTTTTAAAGCAAGAGGAGCACTAAATTCAGTGAGTATGTAGGTTGTTATAACACAGTAAGACAATGCATTTAGACATTTTTTTAGAGATTATTTTTAACAAGAGGAAACCATTTTCAGATAAAGATTTAATGCACATCACAATATGCCGGTCTGCATTTCATAATTTTTTTTATAAAAAGTTCATATAAAAAGTTCATATTATTATAACATTCATAACAACAGTAATTTTTCTAGTTTGTTACGGGTTTACAACTCGTAAGCACGTGCAACCTCGATCAGTATAGTGGTGTGCATGTTTTTTTGTAGTTCTATTATTGGTTTAGCAACAACAACATCTTTGTATTGTGTAGAATCATTATACTTCGAGAATGTAAGGATTTTCATATATGCCAGATTTTGTCAGTTAACTCGTGATTTGCGTTCGTCCTGAACATGTATGCGATATTTGCCACTGGACGTAAAGCAACCAACAATCAATAAATCATAATCGTAAAATGCGTAAAAGTGAAGTGCTGGTGAATCACACAAAAATTATGAATTCTATGAAATACTTTTTGTAATTTTTAACTGTTTCCTTAAGGGAAATTTTGAGAGGATTTTTAAAATGAGGCATTTCGTTATGATGGAATGTATCGTATGAATTGAGTATCAAATTTCCACTTCACTTGATTTGAACAAATGTAGATAGGAAGAAAAATTTGCATAGTATATGTCTTTTAATATAAATGATTGTTTAAAATCAAACGTGCAACAAAGAATCTGACAAAACTCAAACGACAAAAGGTCGGACAGGTTAATGTATGTACTCATCTTTGGTGAAAAATATTACGAACGGAGTGTTGGTCTATTACAAATTAAAAGCAAAGAAAATAAAGAGTTGCAAAAATGAGAAATGTATAGAGTGACTACTGTCCTTGTTAATGATCTAATAGCGTAAGCAACAAAATGATTAATGGCACGAGATAATCCGTGTTTAATCAATGCTAAAATGGTGACTTAATTTGTGTTTTTCAAACTGCTAATTTCTTCAAAACGACTTTTATTTCACACATGAAATTTGGTACACACATGCACTTTGTGATGAAACACGTAATAACTTTGCTTTCAGAGGAAATGTGGTACATATCTTTTTCATGATAAAGATTCACCGTACAATACGGTACCTGGAGTACCCTGTAAAACAGGAAATGTAGAAAATCGTGACCATGGGAACTTACGACGATAATTATGATTGTGAAATATAATGATTTCCCTTTAATTTTTTTTTTTTTTTTTTTTTTAAATAGCCATGTGTTATTCCGTTAATTTAAACTCGTAAACTAAAGGGCTTTTTGGACACTGGGCACCCTACTATTAATTGGAAGGGAAAAGGTTAAATACATTTGAGTCCCTCTTGGAGAAAACGGATTTGTATAAGAAAGGATAAAACAGGTATCTTAGCTAGGGCACTTGAAAAAACAGGTTTGTATAAGGTAGGATAAGAAAAAATTAACGGTGCACTAATAAAATCATAAGCTGAGTTCTTTGTTACGTTCGACCAGGCAAAACCATGCAACGCCATTGTACTTTTGACAAATAAAATAAAAGATGTTTAGGTATACATTAAGGATGTACTTAGGCGAAATTAAAAACAATCTAGAATTTAAAATTGATACTATAAGTCAGAAGTGCTTTAGTTAAGGAACCAAATAAGCTTAAAATATTTATAGGTTATGGAGCTCCTTTTGGAGATATTTGATTTTTTTTAAAAAGGGGGGAAAGGCTGACTCGGACTTTTACCTTATATTTGCAATGGTATTATTTCGGTCTCAAATCAAAAGAAAAGAAATCTATAATATGCTTATATTTTGGTAAATGACCTTTTAAGAGCTATTGAAGTCTTATATGAAAAGAGAAATGGGTGTTATGGGGCAGAATATTTTATCCTGTATTGTAGAAAAAAAACGAAGAAGTCCGAATATCTGACACAAATTCCAAAACCTCACATAAGTACATCCTTAAGGCGACAGAAATCCAATACAAAAAGTCAGAAGATATTTCGAGTTCAAAATTCAGTCTTAAACAATAGGCAGGTACAATGTATCTGTACTAAACATCAAGCTCTAAATAGCTTATTTTTTATAAGTAAAAAAAGCCGAACATACCTGCGTATTCTTAAACCCCACCAAATGGATACAACATCCAGTCATGTAAATGAAATAAACGGTGCAATATACTTCTGGATATTCAGTATTTCAATAAGACGTGTAAAATCATAACTATATATCAAAGACAACCATGATAGGTAAATTCTAAGAATAAAAATGTTTAAAAATAGCAAAAGAAACATTGAAACACTGAGCATTTTTGAATGGAGCATTGTACGGTTACGTATGCCTTAAGTTCAATTAACCATCAACATGATTTTTCCTCTTAAATTAAAAAAAAATATATATAACGTCAAGCACTCTAACTTACTATGACTTGCATATCTTACATGCATAAAAATTCATATTTCAGATTTTGAAATTGAAAGAAACAGATCTAGATTTAAAAGGAGTGGTATGTAATGTTTAATTCCATTTTTATGATACATTTAATGTTAATTTGCTTGTCTTGAAGCTCCGACAGCCACCCCAACCTTATTGCCATATTTGCATATTTGAAATATGTTTGTACGTGAATGATATGCCATATATTTACTGATATTATAAATATTTACTTTCACTGTGATAAAATAATAGATTTATTATTTTAAGAAAGAACATTTGTTAAAACTACATGTATATAATGATCTATAATGGGTAAATTTCGTGCGTTTCAGCTACCGACAACATATATCACTGTGCTTAAACGGCTGTGGGTAACTTAAGTTACCCACAGCCCAAGATGGCGGGCTCTATACTCGTTGATATATGATTGATACAAAATCTTCTTTTTGCGACGTTTTTCATGCACTATGTAAATATTTATAGGATTCTTGAATAAAGAAATCACTTACCATTACCATAAATTTGTCAATTTTAAGTTCATTTTAGCGCAAGGCCAACTTTAAAAAATGCATAAGATGTCCGTAACTTTATGGTCAAAACTAATCAGACTGTCCGTAACTTTATTTTCGAATGTGGGTAACTTTTGTTTTCAAAATTGTAAGATTGATAATTTCAACAATTAAAGGACAAGAAACACTATCAAATCCCGTATTTATTACCTAGTTTTATACTATTACGATATGCGTCAAAATAACCAAGAGAAAAGAGAACATAGCTGTAAAAAATCAGACCCGAGATTTAATAATTTACCGTTGTTTTTTTTTTCAGTTTATTCCCGATTTTCGGATAATATGTTGATAGATAAATCAAGTAAACTTGGTTAGCAGCATCCAAAGTATACTTTGCAGAGTGTTTACATAAAACAGGATCTGATGGTACAGCGAAATTTATCTTACATTCTTCTGGCTTTATAGATTGTTCACTGTTGAGTCCTTGGCCCTTTTAGCCGCGGGCAAAATTGATACCTTTTCCTTTAAATAATTTCCGAATTATTAGCCAAAAAAGTAAGGTCTCCACTATATCTAGTGTTATGAAAAAAAATGCCAACATCTTAGAGTAAATGGAAGGCTATCTTGTTGAACATGTGTCCGTTTATAACAGCAATTAAGATAGATTTAAAATCTTCTAAACATTTCATTGACCTCAGGGATTCAATAACACTTGGTATCAAAGCGTAAATATATTCTTCAGGGGTCTGGACATCTCCGTCTATGTATTTCCGCTCAGGATTGACATCTGAACTTGTTCTCTTAAAGGTGATTTTCGTTTGTTTACTTTTAATGTATGTTTTTAAGCCTTGAGTAATTTGATCTGAAATTTGTGATATCTGCAGTGGGAAGTGGTGAGATTTATAAGCTGCATGTCCTGATTTTTCGTCCCAAACTTGTTTCCTTATGCTAAATTTTGAAGTTCCATTGTGTTGGCTGATTGAGTTATGAACATGGTACCTATGTCACTATATAAACTAACACATGTAATTTTAAAAAAAGATTCGAGTTTATTAGCTGGGTACAATACCAGAAAACATGGTATTCACAAAAGAATTATATCAAACTAGAAATCTACTTTCTTTCTGATTATATATTTGATGCAATTTCTATAACATGTTTAATTATTTAATCCATCCACGAATATCGATTCTTTGAAAGTTACAGCTGGGACTATTATACAATAATATATTATGTTCAAGGTTACGGACATTGTGTTAAAGTTACGGACATCCCTATTGATATATTGAAATAAGTTACGGACAAGTTGTTTTCAAGTTACGGACATCCTAAGTGTTTTTGAAAATCGTAATGTGATCGTTTATTTTGCAGTATTTTATCACCTTTTATGTTTAGGGGTTTCCCTAAAAGATTGATACAACTTTTTAATTACTAAACATTTGTGTTGTTTTCATTGTATTGTTATTATATAGGATAGAAGCTTCTTACCGAAGCCAGGCGGCTCCATCTTGGGCTGTGGGTAACTTAAGTTACCCACAGCCGTTTAAGCACAGTGATATATCGACTAGTGGGTTACAAATTTTCTTACCAATTTACGTTACATAACAACTATGGTTTATCTATATAACCACTCCTTTAGAATATTGAATAATATCCTTGAATAGAATCTAATTAATTTCTTTAGAGAATCGAAATAAACCAACAGCAGAAACAATACATTATAAGTCTTCTAGAAATTAACCTGTTTCGGAACAAACGCTTTACACTTTTAAATAAGGACATCTTAATTATACTGTCTTAATGCTTTAATTATGTTTGATATATGTTTTGTTGCTTCCACTGATCGAAGTGATTGAAATGATATCGGGAGTTTTGGTTTGAATGTATACTCACATAAGTTGTCTACTACATTACCTATTATGGCTAAGTGGTTTGCTTCCCAAATTTTGTCAATCAAACAAAACTATAAACAGTTTTAACCCAACAATTTATTCTGTAGATGCCTGTACCAAGTCAGAAATATGACAGTTCTTTTTTACCTCGTTCCATGTTGGTTGATAACGTTTGATTATGTCAGTAACTGTTTTATGGACTTCTCCTTTCTGAATTTACCTATACGTTTTTACCTTCGCTATATGGTTATGTACCAGGTCAAATTATGGATGTAAGGTTTCCCTCAAAAGATGTTTTGTCATCTTTTATCAGTTTTTTAAAGGCTATGTTCGATTTAGACCTTCTTATGTATAGTAGTTTGGACACTTGACAACGTTGTTGTCACCTTTAGGAAATATTTGTTGTATTGTTAAATATTATAAAAACAAGTTTCTGTTTCGTATAGCATTACATAATTCAAATACTAGGTACTTATTACCAATGTTATTTCTACTGATCGGGCGGAGCTTACGTTTTAATTTGCAATAGGACATTCTATTTGAAGATGTGTGTGTTAAAGATGATTCCGTTATATAATCATTTTTGATTTCTATTCACCTATCAGTGTCACCAAATGGATATACAAAAGAACTGATATGGGACGAAAGTGTAGTTAAAAACTTATATCAATAATACGTGTAATAGCTTAGTATTTGGAATATATTGCATGTTTTTCAACTCCGTTTTACAAGAAAATCTACGGATCTGTCTCACTATTTACTTTTCGAATACACATATAGTGTTTACATACTTTCACTGCATTAATGACCACAACTGGACACTTCATTAATTCGTTTATCCCAAAACACCTGTCTATAGATAGACTGGTCTATGATGAGCGAACCGGTTAAACCCCGCCCAGTCAAGTGAAATAAATCAAGTAATATCATATAATTTCGATGAATTTACTACAGGTCACTCACAGCAGTGGTAACCATGGCCAGGCTACAGCTTGGGCGTCACGTATGTCAGGTGTCGAATGTTCGGTTATCATTCCAAAAAAAGCTTCTAAGGTCAAGGCTGCGGCTATTAAAGGTTATGGAGCAGAATTGATATTTTGTGAACCTTACCCAAGTGGAAGGTAACTGTACACAGCTTTTTAATGTTAAATAAAGTATGAGACAAGAAGGAGGTGCGGTATGAATGACAATGAGACAAATATTCACAAGAGACCAAAATGACGAAAATGTTAGCAACTATAAGTAACTGTACAACTTTCGAACCTACATGCGAAGATGTTAATCTGCATATATTGTTCAGGTCCCTTCGGCCTTGATGCTTACAGATGTACCTGGGTTCCAGCACTTTTTGAAGCGCTTCATTCTAAAACTGTACGCACGGTCAACTCTTTTACAACCCTATAAAATTACTAAAAGAATCATTCAATACTTATAATTACGTTTTTTCGTTATGATCATGAAAAATCGATTTTGATTATTTCTTTAAATAACTTGTGCATTTTTTTGTGATACCACGTCTCATCATGAATGTTAAACTTCATTGGGATATAAAGGTGAATTTTAGTATGATGCACAAGCGTTGTTATCCAATCAAAATAACGGATTCTTCTAAAACATACATGTAATGTAATTATAGAGTGATGAAAAGAAGAGAAATGAATAGAAGGACGAGTATAAAATTGAGAATGGAAATGGGGAATGTGTCAAAGAGACAACAACCCGACCATAGAACAGACAACAGCAGAAGGTCACCAACAGGTCTTCAATGCAGCGAGAAATTCCCGCACCCGGAGGCGTCCTTCAGCTGGCCCCTAAACAAATATATATACTAGTTCAGTGATAACTAATATACCTATTTACATTGCGGAAAAAAACCTTGTTGCTGTTAAAAGCATCTTTTTTATCAAATGTTTCATCGAATGACTTTTCTAACCAAAACTGAATTAATGTGTATCCGAAAGACAATCTATGGCTGTACACGTTAATTTTGGTTTTAATAATTATAGTCAAAGTGTGGCAATGTCTCAATATTGTTGTTTTGTGCTATCTTCACGTGTTTATTGTTTATAGATTAGAACATGTTTTTTTTCGATGTCTGTCATGGTATCATCTCGAGACTCCCATATTAGCCCAAGGCACCAGGCAAATTCTCATATCGGTCGAGCGGCGATAGCAGGGGCGATAACAGGGCCATTATGAACATGTTATTTATCACATATTATACAAATACTTAAAAAAGAAGAAGGAAATGAATTACTCTGTCTGGCGAGATTATATATGTTTGTCCTCCACTGAAATTATTCCGCCGTCATTTTAAAATCGACGTTTCTCATCCGCTATTGATGTTGAGAACGCGTATGACAGCTAGGGCACAATAATCAGTTACGTATTCCCTCCGAACAGGAATATAACTAGGACAATTCCGAAGTTATTGCATATGCAAAACCCAATGTTTTCGTAAAAAAATATTTGATAAATGATGTTTATATAAGGGGAGCTTTAATTTGACATTGTCTGTTATAATGTCATTGCATTTACAAAGGAAATTTGAAGAATAATATTTCAATGAAATGTGATTTGATAAAGCTATGTGCATGATCACTTTAAAAAAACCCACTGTAAGCCACTCTTGCTTTTAATCAGCTTTCTAAAAGCTTACAGCCATTACTTCATAGTTATAGAACGTTTTTGGGATATCTTCCTTTTTATATGCGTTTATTTTTCAGTACGGAAAATCAGAAGTAAGCAGTATTTATATTTAGTGTTTTATATATTTAGAATCACGTCACGAAGGAATTCCGCAGTTTTGTTAAAAATAAAATGCGAGATCTGTTCCGATAAAAGTATTTCTGTCAGTACTGAAGCGAAGTTTTTTCTTATATGTTACCGTTATTAAACTGAAATTTGATATTGAACTTCCATAAAGATATGGAGAACCATCTAGGACGTTTAACTCACATATAATATAGTCCTTGCTACAAATCATAATTCTACGGTTTGTTTTGGTAATTAAGCGCATGCGTATAATTTTCTTGACCTTCAGGGACACAAAACTAAATGGTTGCTCTGGATTCCCAACTCCATTGATTAATTTGAAACTCAAGAGATTCTTTCTGTGTCTATCTGCTATAAAGGGTTATTTTAGTTGCATGTTTTTTAATCGTGTGCAACATTTAAATAAAAAAATGTAGTCAACAACGTAAAGGTAAAACTAGAACTCCCCTTCAGCCGAAATGGAGTCTTCCATATTATCGCCCAGAGTTGTCGCCAGTACAATACTTCCGTCAATTTAAAATCAAAATATGACAGCACGAAGAGTAAAATAGGCCAGTTATGTCGATAGACGTCGAATTATATTAAAAGCGATGGCAATTTAAACAGAGGAATGTGTACGGAAAGGAGTCATGCCCACTGACCTGAAGGAAATTAAATATTTAATGTCATTGAATAAGAATTGGGTTTTCTCATAGAATTCGCGATAGGAAAATAGGTGATAACAGGATAAGGTACGAATTGAGATACCTTCTCTCTATATAATATATATCAGTGACTGCTGTAGATAGTTAACTTGAAATTGATAGTACAAAAATAAAACACAAAAATTACATTGTTCATACACTTGTATCAGAGATTGGCTATTTTTTAAAGTTGAAAAACTATTCAGATTTAATCAAATAGAGAATACATGTGCAGTTGAATTATTTTTGAGAATAATACTAATAGCAATGAAAACAATAGCAATCGTATTCCTCAGAGCAATCATGCTCTTTGATTAAGAAATGCATTTGAAAATTGATTTATTATAAACTCTTTCCCCAAAAATGGTTTATATGCGGGGAGGTAATTGTAGTAAATGATATATACAAGTTAACTTCTACGTCATTTGTTCTCTGGTGGAGATTTGTCTCATTGGAAATCATGCCACATCATTTTATTTTAATATAAACGTTTTAATGCTTTCTCAATAAAATTAATCATGTTTCTTAAATTGATTGCATTTATAATGGGATATTTGTATCACTGTTATTATTAATTTGTTTTAAATTTTATTTACTAGAAAAGAAACCTGTGACAAGATAGTAAAAGAAAAAGGATATGCCATTGTTCACACGGCAGACCATGACATTATCGCCGGACAGGTATGACAAATTTAATATCACAGAACATTCAAGAACGATGATGAAGACGACGATGATGAGGAGGATGATTATGAGCGTGTATAACGTACAAAATAAATATATGATCAAACCACACTATTCAGTTACATAAAATTATGTTCTCTGGGAATCGTACTTGGGATGTTTAGATTTCACAGACAACATCTCTTCAATGTATGAAACTTGTAATGTGATGTTGTTCAATCCAATCATTTAATCAATTCAATTCAATTCGAATCTTTATTGCAATTACACTCTATACTTATAGCATGTGACACAACATAACAAAAGACGGGCGAAAGATACCAAGAGAAAATGAAAACACAAATGCCCAATTTCAACAAGTAAAGCCTGAAATCAGGTCCTGCGTATACCTAAGTAGGCATGATACAGGCACAATTTATATAATCTAAACTATATAAATTTCATAGTATTTTACCTGGTCATTTAAAAAAATCTTGTTTCATGGTACGTTTTCTGGCTTCGGAAAGAGCTTCAGTAGCTACACATAATCAATTTTCACTACCAGAAAAACAAGAGGTTTACAGTGTTGTCTCTCCTTAAAACATGTATATTTAATCTAAATAGATAATTATTTCAATCATTCACTCTGTTTTAATTGAAAGCTAACACACTAAGTTTTACCATCAAATACAAAATAAAAAAATGACACTTTTTCACCAATTAATGTAAATTCAAGAAATAATGAATCGAATTTTCAAAGGTAGAGATATTATTCAATGTAATCAAGATTTAATGCTATGGCCAAAAATAAAAAGACAAACAGACAAATAATAGTACAGATGACACACCATAGAAAACTTAAGACTAAACAATACGAACCCCACCAAAAACTGGGGGTGATCTCAGGTGCTCCGGAAGGGTAAGTTATAAAAGTTTTGTATGAAAAAAAAACAAGGGGTTCTTCAATTATCCATGGAGGGAAATCCTTTTTTACATAGATTTAATTTATACTTAACCAATTTCTTTTATTAATAATCAGGGTACCATGGCAGTGGAGCTTTTAGAAGAAGTACCAGATCTGGATGCAATACTAGTATCGGCTAGTGGAGGCGGAATGATCTCTGGTATAGCCATTGCAGCTAAAGCTATTAACAAAAACGTAAAAGGTAATTGTCGTTATAACATATTTTTGTACATACATACACAGGGGTCTTGTCTGATCTGAGACGGGACGTTGTTCAAAAATAACATTTAGCGGATTTTCACTTGGACTTCATTTGATAAAATCCTTTAAAAAGTTATTTCTTTTATAATCAGACATATTATGGTCAAAAACTATTGTGTTTTATATGATATCTTTAATGACTTCTTAACTTTGTCTTTTTAACCCTAATTTTATTCACATTTGAACACGACACATAAATGTACTTGTCTTCTTTTTTGTAACAGAATCATACGTTCTGTATGCCCATGCTATCTCGTATTTCAGTTCATGTTATACTCCACGTGCTCTTTAACGGGAGTTAAAAGACAGCTAGTGCCAAATAAAGGCAACAGTAGTATATTGCTGTTCACAAGTCACAAATCGATTGATAGAAAACAAATCTGAGTTACAAACTAAAACCGATGGAAACACATCAACTATAATAGAAAAACAACGGAACAACAGAAACTCTGAAGCAACAAAAACAAACGCGAACATACATAGAAACGGACTTTGTGATAACAACTGCCATATTCCTGACTTGGTACAGGCTAAGTGTACTCCTGATTCGAAAAAAAAATGTTCTATAATATACATTCGCCAAGACAAATAGACTGACATCTCCTGTGTGAATTTACTACATGTAATTACATAATGTAAGACATGTAAGTAAACATTTGTTGTTTTTCTTTGCCGTAATTCCCGTTACATTTGAGTTGACGCTTTTTACCAGAAATAGTTTTCGAAATGCATGACAAATGACACCAGCCTAGCAGACGATGTTTCATTTTTAAAAACGTCAAAATCAATGCACATTGGACAATTGATATTGCAACCATGATTTTCTTTGTAATATTATGTCATCAATGACTAATGCTTTCATTTCAACCTGTGCAGATAAAATAGCAAAATTAATACAATGTTTTAAGCAGTTTTTATGTTAAACGTATTTTCTCGACTTAACATTGTTCTCTTTTCAGTATTTATGGTAGAACCTGAAGGCAAAATGGCTGAAAAGTGCATGCGATCAGGTAATATAAATACTGCAATAAGAATAGTAACTTTGAACAAAAAAAACCCAAAACAACACAAAACAAAATCAAACGAATATTGTATCAAAATAAAATCAACATCAAACAACAACTACAACTAGATTCGCCATTGCAAGCAATAGCGGATGTCACCCTTCCTCCACTGACACAAAGCAGCAGCCAATTTGAACATTTTAAAAAGTGAGTGCACATGTCACCCTTCCTCCACTGACACAAAGCAGCAGCCAATTTGAACATTTTAAACAGTGAGTGCATATTTATATGCATTGCTTTATATCATTTTGTAAATTTTCAGTATATTTAGAGCATTTTGGAATCTTTTACATTTCAGCTGTTTCCATTGCAACAGCAGCCATTTTGGAAATTCTAAAGTCAAAAGTCTCATTTATACTTGCCAGTTAATAGTCATATTCAGTTTCATTCAGTTTGGAGCATTTTGAAATTTTTGACATTTTTGCAGTTTCAATAGAAACGGTGGTCATTTTGGAAATTCCGAGGTCAAATGTCTTATCTATATTTGCCAGTTAACAATCATAATAAGTTTCATTGAGTTTGGAGCATTTAGAAATTTTCGACATTTTTGCTTATGTCCATGGTAACAGAGACCATCCCAAAAATTTTAATCACAGATGCCACATTGGATCATACCATAAAAGTTTCAATGGATTTGACCTACCATTATAAGTGAGTAAATGCTACTTTCTTTTAAGAATTTCCCATAGGGTCTAATGGCCATTGTTTCTCCAGTTTCCATGGAAATGGCAGCCATTTTGGAATTTTTCGACATTTTTGCTGATTTCCATGGTAACAGAGACCATTCAACATATTTTAATCACAGATGCCACATTGGAACATGGGAGGGAACATACCATAAAAGTTTCAATGGATTTGACAAACCATTATAAGTGAGTAAATGCTTCTTTTAAGAATTTCCCGTAGGGTCTAATGGTCAATGTTTCTCCAGTTTCCATGGTAATGGCAGCCATTTTGGAATTTCTAAATATGGTCAAGACATCTTGGCATGCCAGGCAACATTCCCATAAAGTTTCATCCAGTTGGGTCTTATAATGAAAGATTTAATGGATTTGCAATTTTTTTTCACATTTTTGCTGTTTCCATGGTAACGGCAACCATTTTTTAAATTTCCAAAGTCAGTGGTCCTTGTTATAGTCAACAATCATTAAGACTGGTTCCATTGGCTCTGAGAAAACTCCCGGACAAAAGTAGGTGGAAGAAAAATAATAATAAGAATAGGGAAAAAGAAACAGAGGAAAAGCAATATGTCACCCGACATTGTCGATCGGGTGAAATAACAATAAATGTTAAACAATAGAAACTGTCTTACAATCTCCTTGTCAAAGAATTGTGTGTAAATATAGACAGTGTATGTATGCTCTTGTGTACTACAATCGATTAGAAAATACGAAGCGATAAACGTTTACTGTATCCTTTTATCCTGACTCTAGATCTGTTGCGAGGGAACGGTTAATTAACATTCAAAGTTCTATTTAAGATTTTCGTCGCGGTTTAAAAAAGGTTTTATAGACATGTCAATTTTATTCAAAAACAATTCAGCTGTATGGGTGGGGGTTGCATAAAATATACAATTGAGTGTGACTGTTAAATTGCATGATAGAATTAATATCCGTACATTGCAGGGAAATACAAAATGTATTCTAAATATTTGAGATCGCATCGAAACAGGAGAAAAGCTCGGCAGGCCTCGCTTTTCTTCCTGTTTCTAACGACATACAAAGCTTGTACAATTGATTTTTTTTATATTTTCCTACAATGCACGAATATTGTTATTAAAATCAAGTGATCAAACATAGTTATTGTATTTAGAATATCGTCCGAATATTTGATCGCGCCTTTAAACTGCTCTGAATCAATCATAATGTGATACCGTAATATCACAACTTTCCTAATTTCCTAATTATTTGAAATAGTGAAATACATAATATATTTATCTTTTAAGTAATGCAGAAATCAGTATCTACAAAGTAAGACGGTAGAAATCCGTCATCTACAACTCCTTAAAACCACACACTGATATTTATGAAACTTTCAGGAAATTGATACTTGAAAGTATTGATGCCTTGTTGATTTTCTTTTTTCTTTATAGTAACTTAAATAGGATTTAAATTATATTTTCTGATGTCCTTGTCCCATGAACTACATGTACATTGATTTTTTAAAGATATATTTCAGTTGTTGCTGTTTTATAAATTTACCTTGAGATGAACACTTAACCGTCAGTTTGCTTTGTCTTCTTTATTAAAATAAGTCAGCTTTCAATTCGCGATCTAGTAAAACCATCTTAATGTATAATTAATTGCAGGTGAAAGATTGTGGCCAAACCCTCCAAAAATTCTGGATACGATAGCAGACGGGATTAGTCAACAGCAATTAGGTCATCTCACTTTTCCTATTATCTGCGATCTAGTAGAAAAGGATGTCTTCACTGTTGTAAGTTATACAGTAGAATGAAATATATCTGTATAATGCATTTTTGTATTGTGTCGGCTTAAGGCAGTATTGGGCAATACACAATTTTGTATCCTTTCCATGGTATAGGTTATATAAACTGTTTCGATCATCTTGTTTTCAACGTGTATGTGCAGAGAATTCTTTAATTTCATATTGATGATACAGAGGGAAGTATGCACATGTATTTTGGAATAAATTAGGAGACGATTGCTATTACATGTATTAAGTTTCTGCAGATTAAAAGAAGAAGAAATGGATTTACACCAGTCACCCTTGTTTTATAACAAACAGATGAAATTGTGCTAAAATGTGTTTTATAAATACCGAACTCTGAGGAATATTCAAAACGGAAAGTCAGTAGTCAAATAGCAAAATCAAAAGCTCAAACACATCAAACGAATGATACACAATTGTCATATTCCTTATATTGAATTAAACTATTTTGATTTGATACAAAGATTATTAGTATTCGCCTTAAATATTGACTTGCATTTAGAACTTGACAAGAGGGTTTGATAAGATCAAACTCCAAGACAAAAGATATGATTTCATCTCCCAATAGTGACATTTCGTTTTCTTTGTTTTATTATTCCAGCAGTGCCTGCATACTCCCAGTTGTTTCGATATACCAGAGCTTGCATTTATTACCATGATTTTTATGACAGTTGTTGACCATTCGTTTGATTGGTTTGAGCTTTTGATTTTGTCAATTGTTGAGGGACTTTTCATTTTAAGCTTTATTTGGAGTTCGGTATTGTTGTTGTTTTGCTATTTCTGGATGTACGGTTGTTGCTTATAAGAAACGTATTATACGAAGATGTCTACTTGGGGAAGTTGAAATCGCCCTTCGGAAATATACGGACGCAATCACGAGTTGGGTGAACGTTGTTTCACAGATGACGACAAATCTTTTCCAACTGGCATAACCACAATCCCGTTCTCTTTTCCTCAACAACGACTTAACGAATTAGACTTATCACCGGGTTGCATTCACAAGAGCAATACCTCGGGTACCACAAGAGGACATGGGATTACTTACCATTCCGGAGCACATAAGATCATCCCCGGTTTTTGATGGGGCTAGTGTTGTTTAGTTCTTAGTTTCTATGTTGTGTTACGTATACTTTTGTTTGTCTTTTGATTGTTTTTTTTTACAATTTGTGTCAAGGAAATTTCAGTTTGTTTTAGTCTTCTGAGTTTGAATATCCCTTTTGGAGCATAATAAAGCACCCTCGATTTTTGGTTGGGTTTGTGTTGTCCATTCGTTATTATGATGTTTTTTGTGTACTGTAGTTTGTCTTTATTGTCAGTGTGTTTTCAACTCGTGAGATGAATTTCCCATTGGTATATTTTGCCTCACTTTTTGTATCTTTCGTCTTTCTTTTAATTACAAAATTATGCAGTCAAGAAACCAATATACGCTTGGTCTTATAGATACATTGTTTGTATTACACAGCTTTGGCAATGTAGGCACACCTCTTTCGAGTATTGTAGTTCACAACATGAATAAAGATTTCTTCCACCAATATATGCCAATTCAATTTCCTTATCTACAACTTGCAGACAGACGAAACTCAACTCTACTTTAGCATTATTCTATATATACATGTAAGTATGGTTGCTATATATTTGACGGATCTGTCGTGTACTTATTTTTTTTCTAATGTATAATTATTTAACCACATTATTTACTACTAGAGCATTTGCATTATTCACGTGTATGGATACGTGCCCGGATCGACGTATTCGTGTCGGGCATATTGTAAAAAATAATGATTTAGCCCCGACCTCAATTAAAACTTTATTAACCTCAAATGCATTATAGAATATCTTCATCGGGACCAACTTGACTTAATTTATCAATTCCTTTGATACGTGTTACACGATACGTCGATACGGATACGCTAGCAAATACGTGAATAATGCAAATGCTCTACTAAAAGTATTTACAAAGACCACTTGACATAACCGCTTTCTATTATTCAGGGTCATGAAGATATTATAAAGGGGATGAAGTTTGTATTTCAACATATGAAGGTAAGTTTTAAATTTATATTTTAGTAAAATATTACATGTTTGGTTGGTCTTTGTATATCAGACCTGACATTGCGCTATATGAAATTTACCAATTCGTCATTTAGGGGATTGTCCTATTCATGAAAGCTAATTAACATGATTAATATTATTCTTGTGATTGACCATCGTCAATGCTTATTACTAAAACCGTTTCAAATTATGCAGGGATTCAAAGTTGTTTATTGTCAGTAACTTAAAAACTTATGGTCACTTCAACAAATTTCCGTGTAATACCATATTCTGCACCAATATAAAAAAATCATAGTCAATACCAAATGTCAAGATCATTTATTTTCTTAGTGGCATCCAGCCCTAAGAGTAAGACTGTTAGACAACATGGTGTGCTAGCTCGGTGTCAGAAGCCGTGCTACGTTGTGAGCTTTATTTTTAGTACGTTAAAAATCCGAAATGGCTTTTGATTAAATACAAAGCAGAGTATATTTGTTTCACATTTACAAGTCATGATAGTCTTGATCAAACAATGAAATATATGTCTTTGATTGCCAAATAGCCATCAATCAAATAATCTGTCTTACTAGATTCATTTTTTAAAGATTTTGGTCTTGCAATGTTTCTGCATATGACATGCCTTTCATGTTTTACTAAGCGTGGAAAAAACTGTCATAATATCAATATAGAAGATGATGGTTTTTTTTCAAATGGACAATAAATAATGATGTTTTACCATAGAATGCAATAAATAAAGTTGTTTCGGGAAAATAAACGAAAACGTTACCAATTTTACTGCACCAGATACGTTTTTCGCCAAATAATGTCTCTTTAGTAATGGTCAAGGCCAAAATATTTGAAAATCTATAACTTATTCAAATAGCTGCTAAAACCAATAAGAACAAAAAATATAGTCAAAACTGGGCAAGGAATCCGAGCTTTGCATGAGGGAGATATAGTCTTTTTATTAAAAATAATATCCGAATTTTGTAACATTTTTAAAACTATATTTTGTTTTACTTAAGTTGGTAATAGAAGCCGCTTCTGGAGCAACAGTAGCTGCTGCCATGTCAGAAAAGTTAAGACAAATGGATCCTAGTATAAAGAAAATTGGCATTATAATATGTGGTGGAAACTTTGATATAGACAAACTACCATGGTTCTCGCAGAAGGAACCGAAGGGATAGCAAGCTATAAAACACGAGCAGTTTATTTTGTATACTAAATACTGTATGAATCAATAGAATATGCTTATATACTTCTACATGACGTAGCTGTGCCAAATCGAAAAATAGCGGCTAAAAATTTCAATCAATATTAATGCTTTCATATTTTAAATTAAAATATTGGCACAAGACAAACAAGTTGACCATCTACATGCATGGTTTAAAATATTTGATTTTATAAATTGTAGGTTTAACATGTTTAATGTCTTCAAAGGAGCATACCTAATATTTTTAACACAAACTGTTTGCAATATGACAATAAGTCAAAATAAGATATATGAAGCTCTGTTTTAATTTGACACAGATAATTATCATGTAACTCACAAAAGGAACCACATGGAAAGCAAGCTTTGAGATAGTTAGTTTGTAAAACTTGGTACTGTATGCAAACATATTTTTTTTAAATATTTTTAATGACCTCACACATCCTATATAACACAACAATTGGTGAATAAACATACTTTACTTGAAAACAATGCCTGTATCCTACACATCAGAGTTTTAGATTGTAGAGCTGTTGTTAATATACTCACGTCTCTCTGACCCCGGCTTGCCATTGCCATTTATTGTTTCCAATTCATAATGCTCAAATGCAACTTTGTAAACGATGTGCCATATATTTTTTACCATTCCCAGTTAAAGGCAGCTAAAGACTTTTCATGTCAACATACTTATCTCTACAGACATGAAGGAAAGTGGGGAATTTTCTACACTTTGGATCCATTGTCCTGCGTCATTTAAATTAAAATAATATGTTTTCCTCTGGTATTCTTTGACAAACGTAACCAAAGTGTCACATGTGTCTTTGCACCTACTGTATAGTATCATTTGGTTTTTTTCAAAAACAAAAATTACCTATGAACATAACGATTTAGAATATGCAAATTATCAGTTTCCATTAATATGGTTGTAAATGGGCGAATGGTGAATTTTAATGAGTATATATGAATATATGAGTTACCTTATTGTAGGGAGTATCAAACCAAATAGGATGTCAATCAGGTCTATACGTAGTTCCAAATGTACGTCCACAAAGGTTGTTTACAGGTAACTAATTCAAATCGTGGTTAACGCTATCAGCTGATCGGTATTTCCGGTTTGACCAATTACCACTCAACCAACATATCACAGCAACTTTACCAATGAAACACTATCACAGCAATATTTGAACTAATTGTCTTACAAGGGATGGGAAATTGATAGCTGATTAGTAATTGAGAGGTTACTTTACCTTGACCTGAATTAAATAATAGAAGTTAAACAATGGGCTGCTCACTGATGTACTGTCAAAGGAGGGACAAGAGATACCAGAGGGACAGTCAAACTCATAGATCAAAAACAAACTGACAACGCCATGGCCAAAAATAAAAAGACAAACAGACAAATAATAGTACAGATGACACAACATAGAAAACTAAAGACTAAGCAACACGAACCCCAACAAAAACTGGGGGTGATCTCAGGTGCTCCGGAAGGGTAAGCAGATCCTGCTCCACATGTGGCACCCGTCGTGTTGCTTATGTTATTACAAATCCGGTAAATAGTCTTATTCGGTAGGTCACATTTGTGAAAAGGGAAGGGTATTGTAGTTACGACATAAGGAACATTTCCGATATCATCTGTGAAACGGTTATTTTATAACGGTCAACCAACTCGTGATGGCGTCCGTAAAATTCACGAAGGGATGATTTCAACTTCACCATTTGGAACTCTTGGTTTAATAGCTTCCTTGTGAGCAGCAATCCTCTATCAAGGAAATCATGATAGGAAATACAAGCCCGGGAATATCGTATCAATTGGGAGATATATACTCCGTATGCAGGCGCTGCTGGAATGTTGCTACATAGAAATGGAAAGTTCACAATTGGGAAGCTGAAATCATCTCTTTTGTCGTAAAGTTTTGTTTTCAACCAACTGTCACCAATCCAGTAGTCTCCACTTCTGTTGATCATTGATATGGTCAGTTTTGTAAATTGTCTGTTATACAAACTGTTGGATTGTTCGAAACACTACCATTTTGTTTTACCTCATGCATAAATTAACAAAGCAGTATTTGTAAAACTTATCGTAATTTTGGGCTCATAATACTCTTCAAACTCATTTGGCTATTCAAGTTTGTTATTCGATGTCACTGTAGTGTCTTTCATGACGAATCGCGCTTCTGGCGTTCCAAATTTAAAACCTGGTGTCTTTGATGAGTTTTTTTCTGACAAATTTTGCAAAGGAAAACGACAAGTTGGTATCAATCAAATTCAATTTTATGATACGTGTACCATGAAAAAGGTGTAAAAATTCGTCATTTGAAAAGAAGCAAAGTAAACAGTACGAAATGTACATATTGCTTTACATTAAAAGCAATTTCAAGTATTGCTAACTTGTATCACAATTACTGGCCATTTTCTTTTATACAATACAATACAATAATAATTTATTAACGTTTCACCATGAATAATACAGTATACACATTTCACATTGTAAAAGTAAAGTATTAATGCCATTCTTAAAAGTATTGTAAGAGACGGATTACAAAGGAACTAGTATTTACACATTCTCAAAAAGCTTTTATAAAACAAAAGTTAAATCATAAAACAAATTTACATCACTATCGGTATTTAAAACGTCTCCTACGGTCTAAAATAAGTGTGCGGGTTTTGACACATTTTTGTATCACTTTAATATTGTCATTCGCTTAAATAAATGAAATTTTCACGGAATTCCTCCAAAGACTGAAATTTTCTTTTTCAAAATTTAACATTTTATATAGTTCGGCTCTAAGATCGCCTTTCAACGAACATTCAGTCATTATATACATGCTTCTCCGTTTCAATTGTATTGTCACAAACAAAACAAGTTTTGTGATCTATTGGGAGACTCTCGTAGCGTCCTTGTCCACCCTTATTGGGGCAACACCGCAGCGAAACTGAGAGTAAGCCCTTTGGTGTGGTGGTATAATTAGTTATCAAAGGTACCAGGCTTATAATTTGATACGCCAGACGCGCGTTTCGTCTACATAAGACTCATAAAGGCAACAGTAGTATACCGCTATTCGAAATTCATAAGTCGATTGAGAAAAAAAACAAATCCGGGTTACAAACTAAAACTGAGGGAAACACATCAAATATAAGAGGAGAACAACGACACAACAGAAACTCAACACTAAAATGCAACACACACAGAAACGAACTATAATATAACAATGGCCATTTTTCTGACTTAGTACAAGACAGTGACGCTGAGATCAAAATAGTAAGAAAGATAAGTTTATCTAAGTAATAATATTTTCCTGCATTTCGATCAGTATGGCGGTAAAATGTTGTATTCTCGGTATGGAATCGTTAATTTTCGGTAGGCCGATGTAAATCTATCCAATCAGGGGGCTGAGTTGTGTTCATATATAAGGTGTTTTTGTCTGGTAGCTTCACTTTCTAGCCGTTGTATTGACCGAGTAAACTCCATTATTTTGAATGATGCTGATATATCTATTGTATGACAAATATATTTGCTTTTTGTAAACTGTTTTGAACCGACGAGGTCCGACGTCATTATCCTGAGATAGGCTCGAGCATTGATTTGGATACAGGTTGCCGTAATACGGTTTTTCCTGGTCGGCCCTGGCTATCAATGAAGGGTAATTTATTAAACGTACAGTTTCCACTGTTTTGCTGTGTTTTGTACATAATGATATGATTGGTGAATGAAAATGCAAAATGATTACTGATTTATATGTTATATTTGACGATGTGTCACGATTATATATTATATACAATTATATCTGGCTTCCATCACGTACGACGGGCTGTCGGCAAATTTGAATTTGAATTTGCGTTTGAGTTTATTTATTTTTCTGCCATGCGTACATATAAGGTGTTGGTGTGCTGTCAAGGCAGAAAAGGGTGTCATTTGTGTGTTTGTCGTCTGTAGTATAGAGAATACAGTTATGTATATACATCCTGTTTAAATGTTCTTTATGTACGTAGTTTGTTACCCCCTGGTCCATTTCGTCTAGTAGTGTCTCTATGCAAATCTTCATTCAATTTCCGTTTGAAGTCGGACATAGGTTTTAAATCTATTAGCAACTCGCTGCTTATCAATGTCAATGTCATTAAACCAGTTCGCTATCCCACATAATTCAAATTGTTTATATATTCTAAAGTTTTGAACACTCGATGTCGTCTGACAATTTGCTCTGCCCGATTGTGTATTTCCTTATTTAGTCTATTCACATCAACATTTTGTGACCGATTCCAGTAGTTTATGATAACCCGCCATTGTTTCACAAACGGTGGTGTACATCCGGAATCTCCATTAACTGCAACAATTGGCGCCCATGAAAAAACGGATTGCTTTGTTTTGAACTGAATTTATACATGAGAATGACTTATCTCGCCATATTGCCGTACCGTAACTAATAGTATTCAACATCATATAGAGTCCCTCCAAGTCCCTTGTATTTTGAAATTACAAGACCAAGTGCTCGACTAGCTGCTGCTGCAACATAATTTTTCATGACGTTAAAGTCCAAAAGTTCTGTAAAAACTAAGCCTACATATGTGTAACGTTTTACTGTCTGTAAAAGAGATTTTCGCAATGAAAGCTTGTTTGGCTTTTAGGGATCGAATTTGGTCGAAAACGAACTATAATGGTTTACTTTTATAAATTTTGACTTGGATGGAGAGTTGTCTCATTGGCACTCATACCACATCTTCTTATATCTATATATTTGAAAAAAGTAAAATTACAAAAATACTGACTGCGAGGAAAATTCAAAACGGAAAGTCTCTTATCAAATGGCAAAATCAAAAGCTCAAACACATCAAACGAATGGATATCAACTGTCATATTCCTGACTTGGTACAGGCATTTTCTTATGTAGAAAATGGTAGCTAGCTAAACCTCTCACTTGTATGACAGTCGCATCAAATTCCATTGTATTGCCAACGATGTGTGAACAAAACAAACAGACATAAAAAATAAAAATGTCAAAAAGAGGGTACAGCAGTCAACATTGTGCTATAATCTTAATCACTATAAAAACAAA